TGTAAGTGAAAGCAGTAACAGTGAAAGATGATTTTCTGCCTGTCTATCAGTAAGGAGTTGCTGTGGAGCTAAAACATTAAAGATACTGTTTTAGAATGATGTTTTTATGATAGATTTATTGGATTCAATACAGTCTAGCATGTTCTCCACAGTAAGATGTAGCAATCTGGTATGGATTTAACACATATGAAGTGTTGTTGATTATGAGGCTATCCCGTTGTGTCAGAGTAGATATTTAGAATGATCTATTTATGTTCCTGAGAACTTTTATGTAATTCCAAGAAGATATTTATACTTTTTGAAAGATAATCACATCTTTTTCATCCTTGCTGATGTTCTTGACAGAAAGCTTAACAATTAAATCATCATACACAGTTACCTTTCTTCTGTCTTCACAAGTGATCCTCTGAAGTGTAAGACTGAAGCACGTTGATAAAACACAGCATTGAGATGTTTGTCACTGCATCCTGTCATGTATTTGTGGGTTTTTTGAAGGGAAAGGTATCTTTCTATACAAGAGTTTTCACTGGGAATAGGGTAGGAATGTGAGATCCTGCCTGGCCTCACTTGTTGACAACACTGGTCAATGTTAGAACATAACTAGCTTCTCTCTGTACACCTCAAGAGAGTTATGAGGAGGGAGAGAGGTGCATTTTCTGTCACATATTGGCAGACATGTTCATAGGGGATTGATATTTTAAAGTCATATTTAAAGAAACATTTTGAGGCAAAAGAGCATACCTCAATAAGCCTCTGCCTTTTAGTCTTCTGTTAAAGAAAACTGCAGGTAGGTGGGGAAAAGACGTTGCTATAATATCTCAAAAATGGATTTGCCACCTGCCACACTAGAACTACAAAGAACAGTGAGCTGTTTGTGGGGTGTTTATTTTGAGGGCTATTGGGTGGAGAGGATATTGTGGTTAACTTTTCAATTTGTGAAGGAATCTTTAAAAATAGCTCTAAAAATGTATGATCTCGTTGTAAACAAAACAAAAAACAAATCAATATTTATTTTGGAATTAAGACTTCATCCATATAAAGTTTGTGTTTTGCCCAGTGAGCCCTTCAGCTTAGGTCAGTGCCAGAAGGTATGTGTCTTCAATGAGAGGTTAAGTTAATCAGGGAGAACGTTCCCCTTTATTTTTGTATACTGCCCCAGCTGGTATGGTTCTGTAATTGGTCTGTTCCATATGGTAAACTCAGATTAATATTCAGTAGAAAAATGAATCCAGTCCTCTAGAAGTATTTTATTTGCTCTGAATGTCTGAAATTCTCTAAGGGTTTCTTTATTGGGGCTTATACTGGCATTTTGAAACTATAGTAGATTCTCTCAAATCAGAGACAGTTAGACAGTGGATCACGTTTAGTGAGGAATGTGCGAATGGGAGCTGGGTGTCACTAGCAAGACTTGTTAGCACCAGCTACATTAAGACCTATGCTGATACCTGCAAGCATTAAGCTCAGCTCACAGAACTGAGTTCACTGTGTTTAGGTATTTAATACCATGTGCTAGAGATTGTGGAATAACAGTTGAACTGATTTCTGACCTGAGCAGGCCCTGGAAGCAGTACATCTGTCCCGCATTGAATTTATAACCCTAGCAAGAACCAAACAGGCTCTGCACAAAGCCAGGTGTGTGCGCCTCTGCTCCGTGGCGTAGTCATGTAATCTAAGTTGTCTAGATAGCTGGGAGCTGTATGTTCATAAAGAATTCATTCTCAATTCTTCTACAAGACCGTACTGGATATTGCTGCAATTTGTATAGGAAGGTGAAGAGTCAACTCTAACGTAATTAATAAGAAAGATCAATGTCAAAAATAGAGAATTAAGTCTTGTGAACTACCACTGCCTTCAAAATCAGTCACTAAACATAGCTTTTAAGTCTTAATTACAGACTATGCTATTGGGAAAACAGTTTTAACTCTTACTGTGTTTATATAATGTGTTTGCAAGACAGTAATAGAATGTCACAAAACTGATCCTTTTTAAAATATACTCATTTCAGGTACTTGGAGTCTTCACATAGCAATAGCTACTGTAGGATAAATGCAATATTTCACCTCACATACCAAATATTATTTTATGTCTTCCTCTGTGCATTTCTCAATTATCTTTGAATTCTGAGTGCTGACATAGATTCAATTACTTCAACATCTACTTTAAAAAGTAGCTGGCTCTTGTTAGAAACCATAGCAAGCTCTAAACACATATTTCAGGATTGATATTCTGACTGTTCTTTTTGCTGCCATTAATGTAGTCATACCAACAGAGAACAAAATTTTGAATTTTGCCATTACAGAGAAATCAGGGCTTGGATATAACATAGGGGAGACTGTACTTTCTGATATAACTGAATGGAGTATGGCTTCGTTCACTGATGTAAATCAATAGTTCAGCCAAGGTTTGAACAGGTGGCAGGTAGATGGGAAGAGTCACTCGGTCTCAGGAAGAGAGTAGAGCACTGTTTTTTCTAGTCATCACTGACATCTTCCTAAACCTGAGTGGGAATCACCAGTGTCATAACACCCTGATTGCTACTGTACAGTGGAGATGATGATAAAACTGAGAAAAAACATGTGTGCAGCCTAAGTCCTATTGACTTAAGCTCCTGAGTCAGTTCTGAAACTCACTGTGGACTTTTGAAAATTTTAGTGACTTCCCTAAGCTATAAGTTGGGAATGTTCTTAAAGCTAAGACTTTAATCTAATTACAGAATCCAAGATTTTAAAAAAGGCTTAAGAATAAATTTAAATTAAATATTATGTCATTTATTGTGTTTATTCTGGTAGTCACTGGTGCTACTAATGTAGTTTTTCTTAGAAATTTGGAATTCTACACGCTTAATGTATGGCTACACATATTAAGAACAGAGTCATAGAGTATTATTTACTGCTACTGGAAAATTCTGTGAGGACAGATCAGTGGTTCCCAACAGTTTTTCATACATGGTTCTTAAAGTGAAAAAATTTAAGTCTTATGTATGGTACTCAGCTGAAAAGAGGTACCTGCTGTACCTGTATCTAGGAAGGCTATTGTGTTGAAGGTGGCCACAAATGTGCTTATTTTGCTAAAAGCTTCGTGGGAAATTGGATGGTACGTGCAGGTCAAGTTAGCAAGCCCATTGTTATACGAAGGACTGGCAGTTGCCTGAGCTGTACTGTAAGATTTTACTTGCCTTGCATAATTAAAGACATGGCAGTCTATTACTAAGAAAGCAGCTAGGTTAACCCAGGGTTAAGACAACACCATCCAAGACGCAAAAGTCAGGAGAAGGGGCGTCAGCACCTCAGTAGCTATTTGCCTAGTCGTTTCCATGTGCAGAGAAAATCTTAAGCTGACTTTGTTGAAGTTGGCATCACCTGACTCCCACAGACCTCAATTCTTGTCACTGTGGGAGGATGCCATACATAAACTGAGCTGACATGAATAAACAAGTGCAGTGTTCTGCCAGGAATAGTGCTAAGGTGATGATTGTGTGTCCTGCCAGCCTTTGAAAATATTCTTGAAAGTGTTTTCTGTGGTTTCCTAGGCAGGGACCTCACACAAATAAAACCAGGAATGCAATTTACCCCAAACCATAAGCTAATATAGAGTTCAAAGAGAATAATCAATCAGAAAATAGAAAGCATTCTGTGGATAAATTTCTGTTTGCAGATGTTCTCTCTTCACTTAATACTGTTCTGTAGGTATCTGGACTGTCTCAAATATTTTGCAACACAACTGTTGAGAGAATGTGGATTTGCTTGTGAGGGAGATTTTCAGTTTCCCTTCAACAATGAATGAAAATGACTCTTAGCTTTAATATTAGAGATATCTGGAGAAGAACATACCTAATCAATCTATAAAACTGCATGTTTTTAAAAAGAAGACGAAGCCTGATCCACCTGCTAAACTTTTCATTACAAACACTAGCAATCCTATAAATCGTATTTGGGTAGTACCTGGTACTCTAATATCACTGCAGAATATACTTCATGCCCCACTTGCTGGGTGAGAGGTCAGGAATGTGATTTTAATAACGTATGTGTAAGTGAGAAGGCTCCAGACGTAGAGGTGGCAGTGGGATTGCAGTGCTGATGGGGAGAGCAGGGCAGTTCTTTTTCCCCACTGGCAAATGCTTATTGCTCTGTGTAAAAGGAATCGGACAAAACAGCAAAGGATTTTGTGGGCGTAACATACTGTAAATGTAGAGCCTAGGAGGCAACTTTTCCATTAGCAAATCAAAATGAAGTGGAATTAGAGTAACACATTAAAACTAAATGTTGCTCAAAATACCGTAAGCATGGTGACTACCTAAATTCTTTCCCTAGCTGGAGTTGTCCAAGTCATCTTTTCACTTCATGTCTCTGCTAGCCTATGCTGTGCAGAAGGACCAAGAAATTCATTGATCACCCCGTTTACTCTGTGTGACTGATGTCCTGTAATGGATTCAGCTAACAGGAACCAAATCTGATACTGTCAAATAAGATTAGCAGCCAAGCTGGTAGATTTGAGCTCTGTCTGAATGCTGAGTAGATAGGGGTCAGTGGGTTTCTTTTGGTGTCTTGAGCAGGTTGGTGGTGTTGGATTTCGTATTCCACAATGGTCTTTGAGATTAGTCTGTGCACTGTGGTGACCTTATTCTTCTCATCAAATTTATATTCAGATAGCTCTGATTCCTTCTCCCATTTCTTTTGTCTTGTGAGCTCTGTGTTTCATTTGTGTAAGAGAAATGCAGAAGGAAAAGCAAAAGCTTCTCAACATGCAGTTTTGAAATTGAGAATACCATAGAATTCCCAGAGTGTGTTTCTAAATTTATTGAGGCCATGGGAGCTCTAAGTATGTTTGTGTGTCCGAATTGCACCCACAATATCCTGTACTGTGTCATTTGTTCCATTTTATCTTCAATAGGAAATTGCATCCTGCCGAAAATGCATGTTACATTTAAACTATTATGCTGCTATTTAAGCCAAAATATTCTTACCCATTCTAAGGTAACCCTCTTTCCATGTTTTGATCTGCAGTGGCCACAAAGACCTCTGCTTTCTTTACCTCCAGGCTCAGCTAATACTCTGATTAAAACCTAGAATATGAAGAGACTGTTTGGCACTAAGAGTCAATGTTTAAATCTCTGAACATTAGTAATATTTCAGATAAAGGGGTCAGTTTTCCTACATGTGAGAGAACTTCGCAACAACACATTGTGTTGGCTTCTACTCTGAGGAAAAAAATTCCAGACTTGTATCTTACAAGACTGAGTTATGTCAGAAGTATGATTTGAGATTTTCCAAGAAGGAGCATTAGTCTCATATAATTTGGGAATAAAATATTTGATTGTTTTTACTGTTTAGTCTCCTACCACTTGTGATAACTGTTTTATCACAAGCTTATGTATGTTGAAGCCTTAAAGTAAGGGATGTTAGTTTTCTGAATCTATGTGTAATTTGACAGCACTCACTCCCTTGTGGAAGTGTAGTTTAACTTTTCTAAAATTTCTCTCCTTCAGTGCTAAACAAACCCTGTTTCTGCATGTCTGAATCTAGGTGGATGCGTTACGATTACGTCTGGAAGAGAAGGAGACTATGCTAAATAAGAAGACTAAACAGATTCAGGAGATGGCAGAGGAGAAGGGGACTCAAGCAGGAGAGATCCATGACCTCAAGGACATGTTAGAGGTGAAGGAACGCAAAGTTAATGTTCTTCAGAAGAAGGTAAGACTGTAGAGGTCTAAGTCAGATACACATCTCTGATGCATCTTGATTTCCAAGTCTGTCAAAAAGTCTGAATTAGAATTTACATTTTGGAGATTAATGATTGAGTCCATTCATGTAATGGGAAGATGGTGAGTGATTAATTTCAGTTTGAAGTTTTGAAGAAAAAACATAGAAAGAATTCAAAGCAGAGGTTGTTGCCTTTCAGTGGTTGCATGTGCTGCTTCTGCTTTCACTTCATAATTAACAATGACTGAAGTGTTTGTAGGAGGGCACATCATCTGAAAAGTCAATCCTCTCGCACCCACCACCTTAACCAAAGCCACACTGATTTGAAGCACAGGGTACTGGGTGACTATGACTTCAGTATGTGACTAAATGAATGAGGGGTTGTATCAGCAGAAGCAATTAGGATGATTCCTGTGTAACTTACTGAGAAAAGTTCAGGGAGAACTTTGTATAACTTTCATTAGAAATGCTGTTTTATCATACTTAGTATTTCTTGGGAGCTACTAGAACAGGATAATTAGGGTTCAGACTATCCTGCATATCTTTCTGGATAAGAAAATGTAGGCCTTGTCAATGAAATGGGGGAGGTCTGGATAAGAAAAAGTAGACCCTGTCAGGGAAATTGGAGAGGTTTCCCGAAGGGCATTGAGTCCTAGGGCAATGAATGTCATTATGGATGATCGTTTGCAAATTGCACACAATGTTTCCCAAACAGCTGCTACACAAAAGAGAGAAATGCATGTATCACAAGAAATTTTAATTTACAAAATATTTTTTCCTCTGTATTTTTAGAGAAGCTGCTCTTGGAGCTCGTATTCAATGTATTAGGCTGTGAATGTGTTTTTTTTCTAGACCTTTAAGCAATTCTGTGGAATTTTTGTAATTTTAATAGTTCAGAATATTGATTAATTTCTGACGCCTGGCCAATGCCTTTTCTTCTAGCATATAGCTATGAATCATGAGGGTTTAGGTCATGTTCAGTTCTGTTACAGCAAACTTCATGCAGGAATGGAAGTTCAGGCATGGAGTTTAGCCATAAATAAGTCATTAATAATTCTACAGCAGAGCCCTAATTCCCAGTCTTCATGGTCTCATTTTTTGACTGTTCATCTTTTTAGAAACACAGATTTCTAATTTTTGTGCTGTGCTTTCTCTTTGTTTTCAAAATTGGTCATGCACACTCCAAACATTAATTGAGATCCCAGCTAAATGTTTAACCAAGAAGTGGGGAACCTGACATTTGCGTGAATTTTAAATGTCAGTGGGGTTGTTTTACTTCCATTTACACTGTTTTTTCACATTTTCTTATTTGCTCTGCTTAACTCCTTAGGATGATCTTTCATTGGTTCATTTATAGGCAGTGCTAAAGGTTCTCTTTTTACTCATTTTTTTAATACTTGTTTTCTTGAGACCACTGTAATCCATATTAAGACAGTTTCATCTTGTCTCTTCATGTGGCTAGCCTGTTTTTTGAGGTTCGTTTGCTGCTGCTTTCAAGTAAAAGTAGATGGTCTCTTCACCCTGGAAAGTAAGGGCCCAAGCTTTTAGATGTAAAGGTTTTGAGGTCTTGTTCTCCTAGATAGCTCAACAGAGGATAACACTGCCATAATAAACTCCAATTTGAGTTGTTTTGTAAACCTGTCTCTGAGCTTCTTAAACAAAGAAACATATAACCTATCTGTAGAAAAATAGCTCTTTGCTGCTGCTATCTAGAATCACATGCAGAGATTTGAATTTGCTTCAGCCTTCAAGTTGTTGGAACCATTTCCTTTAACGTGAACAGTTAAATTGTGAAGTTTTTAAATCCAAAGATGATTTTTTCAGTTTCTATAACTAGCAAACCTAGACTATTTCCAGCTGACACTACTTTTATCTGGGGTTTGTGGTGCAATATGGAATTTTTTTATTTTCCGTATGGCCTAGGGTAAATGAGCACAAATTCAGTCCTTTAAAGTTTTAGGATTGATGTCTTTAACTGAATTTCTTAATTGGTTCTCCAGACCTGGCATCTAAGGCTGTTGGGATTTTCTATAGATTGGGATTTGCATTTTCTTGTTCTCTCTAGCATTTTTCCACAGAAAAGCAGACCTTGAGAAAATACCTAAGGAAGGACAGGTCTGATTTTCTCTATATACTGTGGAAGTCATGAGAACTTGCATAAAGTCTGTTTCAGGTGCTAGACAAAAAATTATGAAGTCTCATTTTTCTGATATATATGCCTGTCCTTTTTTGACTGTACAGATAGCTATTTCTGCCCTCTGCCTGGAACTTCAGAAGCTTGTAGCTCCTCTCATATAAATGTTTTTCTTTTAAAGCTTGTAAACTCTGATTTACTTTTTCTCTTTTGCATTTCTAGAGTGCACCTTGTTATTAAAGTGCACAGCCTGTTTTCTGCTTTATCCAAGTGCTGTCTTTCAGACCTTCCAGGACAGTTCAGAATTTTATTTTCTTAAAAAAAAAAAAAAAAAAAAAAGTGCAGCCTTTAAACATTTGTTTAAATGCACAATAGTCTTTTTATTCCTCCCTCTGATTATAAACTGGCATGTTCAGACAGATCAGGTTTTAATCTGTATATTCTAATTGAAGATCTGGATGGTACAGTTTAAAGTATCTTCAGAGGTCACAGATAGTATTTTTTTTTTTATTGGCTTAGTTATCTGATATTAAATGCTTGTTTTAAGTTCATCAACATGACTTAAGTGGTACTTAGGCATTTTGATTGAACACAGTGAAAGACTATGAAAGACGTGTGGTACGGAAAAAGCTTTTCCTCTTGTGTAGTGTTAAGAAATATTTTTCTATGGATAATTGGAAGCAGCAGCAGCAGCATATAAATGCTGCTTGCAGTTATGAGGAGGTATGGGGTACAGGTGTTGGCATGTTGAAGGAATTTAACCGAATTAATAATTAGATTAGTAGATACTATTCAATCAGTTTTTACCAAGTACTCTTCCCTCAGTACATACTCAGATTTGAGGATGTTTTTGAAGTGGGTACTCTAACAAACTAAATTTTGAACACTAATTTTTTTTTTTTTAATGCTAGGTAAAAAGAAAATTTGTAACAAAAGCTAAAATCATAAAGATGTTGAAAAGAAAAGAATTTATTGAATAATCATTATCTTACATAACTTACCTATTTAGGAAAAGTTGTCTACTTTCTTTTGAAATTTAGAAAGATTGTCTCGCCTCCCAGTAATATAGCCATAGCCAAATGATATATGGCTATGTTGGGCATTTGGACTTCTGTTCTATTTTTTTATTTTATTTTCTGTGATTGTTTTAGATGTGTAATCACCTATTCTGATGACACTGACAAGAAATCGTTTGGTGTGCTGCCCAAAACTGTGCTACGCTAAATATCTGCAATTTCTGTTGTTGAAACAAAAATTATTTAAAACGCACCCTTTACTCTTGGGTCTCTGTTTGGATTCATTGACGCAGGCCACTGCATAGTTTGTTTTATGAACTATTAATATAATTGTTGTATTGATTAAAGGTGGTGAACTAGAAAGTATACTTTCTGGTCATTCTAAAATCCAGATGAAGAAAGTAATGAAAATTTACTGGCCAATTAGAGATCAAACAAAAGATACAGAAGAAGATTATGAGCAACAAAGGTCTGAAAAATTAACATGACAATTGGCATCACTACTGATACCCAGTAGGCACCAAAATACATGTTCCAGGTTGCTGAGGAAACCACATGCTTCACATTTTAAATTCTGGAATCTTTCCAGTTCTAAGCTCCTACAGTGATGCTGCTTGATAGCACCTTTATTTGAGACAATAGAAATAGGGCAAATGCAAGAAATTCGGAGATTACAGAAATGAGTTTTAGCTTTATGTCTGAAAATCTGATGCAAAAACTTAGTTTTATAGAGCTTCAGGATTTATTTTTTTTCTCTCATTTCATTGAAAGTAAATCTTGCATAGAATCTCATTTTAAGTTGTTAGAACTCCAGGCAAAGGGAGAGTGTCAGAAAATAAAATAAGGGATCATGCTGGGCAAATTTGAAATCTGAACCTGAAAAACATTAGATTGTGCTTCATTATTCTCTTTGCCACATCTGTCTATGTGTGCTGGTAGGCCAGGATGAAAAGGAATAGAAGAAAAAAAAAAAATCAATACTTTGCAGTCAAAGCATTTTAGAGAAATAGCATTTGGGACAAAAGGTAAGTAACGGTTACTCTGAAAGAAAAAGGAAGCAGTGAATCAATCACCCCTTGCTTTGGGGGGAGGTCATGTTTTGTCTTGGGTTGGGGGGGTTAATACTACCTTCATTGTGCAATGCAGCTGCAGGCAAATAAAATGCAAGTTTGGGGTTTTGGGGGTTTTTTGTTTGTTTTTTTTTGTTTTTTGTGGCTGTGCTGATGTTACTTGTTTAGCTAGTATTTGGGAAGACTCCAAATGCAATTTTCTTGCTCTTTTGGATAAGAAGCATTGCCTTTCTCCAGAGGAAGTAAATGCCCTCTGCTTTTCAAAAAGCTTAACTATCTTATGCTTAATAAGAAATACTGTATGGCAGGAGAGAGAGAGAGACTGCAAATGGAAGTTATAACTCAGTTGTTTAAAATCAGTAGTGGTCATAGTTACTACAACAGCAGTGTTAGTTTAGTATTCATAACTTATAAAGTTCAGTGTTTGTACTTTAAAGGTCATTTTCTTTCCATTCCCTCATCTGTGAAGAAGATTTACCTCCTCAGGCAGCTCTTCTGCTCCAACCCTGAAGAGACGACAGAGCACAGAGAAGGAACTGCATTTTCAAACACTTAATTCAATTTATGGTAGTTTCATCTTCCCTGGTGTGACCTTGAGTATTCATAACTTATAAAGTTCAGTGTTTGTACTTTAAAGGTCATTTTCTTTCCATTCCCTCATCTGTGAAGTAGATTTACCTCCTCAGGCAGCTCTTCTGCTCCAACCCTGAAGAGACGACAGAGCACAGAGAAGGAACTGCATTTTCAAACACTTAATTCAATTTATGGTAG